TAAATCTCCTAATAATTATATTTTTTTTAATAACTCTTTTTTTAATAATATAAAAGAGAATATTAATCTAGAATTTTCTACTTTAACTAATATTCTAAAAAAAGATATTATTTATAATTATAATTAATTAGTATTTCTCTATTAATCTTTTTTCTTTTTTATAATATATTTTTCTTAATCTAAGTAAGATTAGTAATTTCTATAAAAATCTTTTATAAATCTTTATTTATAAATCTTTTTATTATATAAAATCTATACTCTTAAAATTTATAATAATTCTTAATCTCTAGGTCTTTATTATAGAAATCTTAAGAAATAATTATAAAACTTTATAAAAGATTTTATATATTATAAATATTTTTAAAAAAATCCAGAATATTCCTAAAATACTTAAAATACTTAAAAATTATATTAAAAAATTTCTACTACTACTATTAATAAAGAAGTATAAAATTCTAGTTAATCTAAAAATATAAATATTAGTTTTATTAATATATTAAGAAAATCTAGTTAAAAATACTATAACTTAATATATCTTTAATTTATTAAAATTTTATTATTTTATTTTATTCTTAGAACTAAAAATCAAGAAGATATATTTTAAAATAATAAAATATTTTAATAATCTTATTAAACTTTAGTATTTTTATATATAAAATTTATTATTAATTACTACCTCTAGTTAGTATATTATTTTATTAATTAAAGACTTATTTTTATTAGATAATATTATTAAATTTACTAAATAAAAATAAGAATATAATCTTTAATCTTAATATAATAAAATAGTTTTTATAAAATATAATTTCTGTTTATTATTATCTATTAAAGATTAAATTATTCTATTTATTTAGTTAATAATTAAAAATTATTAGCTAATTAAATTATAAAACTAAATTATATATAAATTTACTTTACTAGACTCTATACTATTAAATAAATTTTTATTAGTTAAAAAACTATTACTTAAGATTTTAATAACTTTTATTCTATATTATATTAATCTTTAGATTTCTTATATATTTTCTAATTAGCTAGATAATAGTATTATTTACTTTATTATTAATTTTAAATTTTATAAGATTTAATTTTATATTTAAATATATCTACTCTAGACAGAGTTTAAGCTTTAATCTTTTAATTAAGATTATTTTATATAACTTTTAAATTAATTAGATATCTAGTCTATCTCTTTACTTCTTTTTATTAATAATTTAGTATATATCAGAATATATATTATATATTTAAGAGTTTTTATCTTACTTTATTTATATTTCTATATTAAAAATATTATTATCTAGTTAACTCCTTTATTCTTATTCTAGATTTTTATAAAATAACTTTTAAAAATATAATATCTAATTTTAAATCTAATCTTAAGATTACTATAAAAAACTTTCTTGATTTTTTTTATAATACTTCTATTATTATTATTTTATTTATTATAATACTAACTGGAGATATATTCTAGTAAATTAAAAATAATAATATTCTTAACTATAATATTAATATAGAATACTAAATATATTATTATTTATAGTATAAAAAATATATTTCTAATTATAATACTATTTCTTATAATTATTATTATCTTTAAATATAAATTTTTTAGAAGTAGAGTATTTACTATATAATATTTAAAAAATAATAATAATACTTTATTATAAAAGATATATAGTTTTATTAATTACTAGTTAAGATTTTTATACTAATCTTAGATCTTATTCTAGATTAACTATATAATATTTTATATTTAGATTAAAAAGATATTAGGTTATACTTATAAAATTATATCTAATATATTCTTATATCTACTAGAATTAATAAATATTCTAATATATTATAGAAAATAATTTAATTTATATACTAGTTATAATAACTAAGTTTAAGATATCTAAAAATATAAATTATATTAAAATTTAATTAGACTTTTATTCTTTTACTTATTATTTTTTAATATTATATTAATTTATTCTAGTTCTATACTAAGTATCTTTAATATATAAAACTAATAATATTATTTCTTTTTTTAAATATTTAACTCTTATCAGGATTATCTTAATTAATTTATATATATATAATTATTATAGTAGTAATTATTATTATCTTAACTAGTTTTTATACTTTAATATAGAATTTTAAAAGATAGATTATATATAATTATTATATATTTTAATATTTTATAATAATAATATTAAATATATCTAATTAATAACTAAAAAAATTCTATAATAAAAACATATATATTTTATTTATAAGATTTTAATTTATATTAAAACTATTTTAGATAAGCTACTAAATATCTAAAATAATAAATAAATTAAATATATAATTACTTTAATTATTTATACAGGATTTTATTTTAATTTATTTATTAATAAATATAGACTACTAATAAATTATAATATCTTATATAAAAAATTTAAGTATAAGTTTATTATTTTCTAGTATTATTAATCTTTATCTTTACTAATTTCTTTTAAAGGATATTTAAGATTTAGATAGATTATATATTACTATCTTAATTTATAATTTATTTTTTTAAAATAAACTAGTTACAGTAAATTTTATAACTTAGATTAATAAATATATAAAATAATATATATTTAGATTATCTCTAGATTATTTAATAATTATATTAATTATATTTATAGTTTATCCAGTATTATATTCTTACTAATAAATATAATATATATTAATTTTTAATAAATATATAGTTATCTTTCTTAAGTATTTCTTTTTTAAAATAGTAGATATTATCTATACTTTTTTTAGTATATTAGAATAAATATACTATAACTACTCTAATTTAGTATAATTTATTATATTTTTTATTCTACTCTTAAATAAAACTATTATTAAGATAAATATTTTCTAAATCTTAAAAAATATATAAAAATCTTTTTTATATATTTTTATATTAATTATTTATCTAGATATTTAAAAATATTCTATATTAAAAGTTTTATTTAATATAGATTAAGTCTAGTACTTCTATATTATAATATTTAATATTATTTTTAATAAAAAAAATTTCTATTTTTTTTAGTATAGTTATTATAAAAATTAGGTTATAATACTATTTTATTTTTTTTTATTATAAATACTCTCCTGAATAGGTTTTTTTAAATCTAAATAATAAAATTAACTAAATATTTATAATAAATATAAATAATAATTTTAAATATTTATTAAATAAAAGTAAATAACTTTTACAGTATAAATAGAATATTAACTTTATATAATTATTTTTAATATAAAGTTCTTTATTTATTACTCTTAGTTATTATCTCTAATATACTAGTATAAATTAAGAAATAATTTTAACTTTATTCTATAATTATACTATAACCAGTAGAATTCTAAATTTATATAATAAATTAATTATTATAAACTCTGTAATATATTATGTATTTAATAATATTTTTAAGAGTTTAATAATAGATTACTATTAATAACTATAATTTACTGTAAGTAACTAATATACTACAGTATTAATATTATATTAATATATCTATTTAACTTATTATAACTTTATTATAATTTTAAGAAATCTTAGCAAAACTAATACAGTATATAATAAATCTTTATAAACTATTTAATATAACTCTTACTAACCATTAAAGACGGATACCCTCTGGTATTGAAACTCTCCAAATATCCCCCCTTAAGCTACTATGTAACCACTAATGTCATCTTTTTCACACCTTCAAGGCGCCATTAAATAGTGGTGAGGCTTTTTCGTTGTGGGTTTAGAGAGAGGATCGCGGGGTCGGCAAACCATTTATGTCTCTTGAGGTACCCTCTCTGCAGGCTGTAGAGCAGTCACTGAGCCGTGATGGCAGCCCCAGGAGGAATTATCTGGATGGAGAAAGTCGGGTGAATAGAGCTGCAATTTTAGATTTTAGTGATCAAGTGATGGTCGTTTGAGATGAGCCTCCAACGGCATAAACGCTAGGTTTAAAAATTGGGCCCGTTAGGGTTGTTTGCTCTGAATCATACTCGCGTTGTTTCTGTCAATCTCAACGAGCGAGATATTTCGGTAGTTGGATGATTCATATGCCATGCACAATGTTTCTTAGTAGGTAGACCCTTGAGACGTCCGGCGTAATGGCTCCCCTGGAGACGGAACTTGGAATATCTCCACTGCACCTTCCACAGTTACCCCGGGCGCACGCTTTGGGTCATCGGTCCATTGGGACACATTATCCGAACAAACCTCCATTGATCCAAAGGTATCTCACCAATGCAGTTTTGCAGTGATACGTGGAGCAGGGACTCTGCATAGCGGGAGACGCGTGTGCTACTTTATCTTCTGAGAGTCATGCTTTACCAAGCTCATCTGCATGGGTGATACTCTCTAGCAAGCCGCGCCGCCGCCTGCATGGTCCGGTCCAATGTACAGTACTGTGTCTGAACAGAAATCTTGCAACCAGGCATCCGCATTCTTGCACTCAGCGCCGTTCAGATAGATCAAATTTGCCACGACTAGCCGGACTTTTACAGGGCGCGTTAGGGACTGCATTAGACGCATGAACATCCAATACCACGTGATACATACTACAAGGACTAACTACTCTTTCAGTATATACGAGGGAGTAGGGTGGTATGATTGGAGTTGACCTCACTACTACGAGATAGAGAGCAAGACAGGCCGGTGGAGAAAGATTGAAAGCACATAAGCTTCTATGCATGCAGAAATCTCTTTATCTCTTATAAAATGTCAATGAAAGATATGCAAACAGGCGGTGCTATTAGTTCCAGTAAAAAAAGAAGAAAGTAATAAAAATACAATGTCGTATTTAAAACTCCCGGAGATAGAGTAATACTGCGTACGGTATACCTTTTTTAGAGAATTCTAGAAGTCATGTAAACAAAAGTGGAGTAATTCATCCATGACTGGAGTAAAAAAATAACAAAAGATATAAGAGTCAATAGAATTATCATTTCCAGTAAAGGAAAGAAAGACAACAAACAGAGGAAATAAGAATAGGCGGAATTGTCAATTCCAGTGACAAAAAAGGAAAAGAGATGATAAGGTATAAAAACAGGCAGAATCGTTGACTCGAGCCAAGAGAAAGAAGTGACAACTTAGCGGTGAAGTACAAGATCGGGCTAACTGGCGGATTCCAGTACTAAAGTAACTTGAAACAAACGTAAGCTCCAGCTTCCACCATCGCCACGATGTCAATCTACACCCTCCCCAACGAAATCATCGCTCTCCTGCCGGCCTACCTGAACAATATCGAAACCTTCACCAACGCCTCGTCGGCCTGCAGGCTGTTCCGCGACAACTTCGCGACAGCCTCGCCGAAAACCATCCTCCAGCTGGCGGCGGCTTCGGCGCCGACGTTCTTCTCGCCGCACCCGCACTTCCTGGTGGCCGCGACCGCACGGCAAGCCAGCGCGTGGGTGCTGCAGGACCCAGCCACACGCACGCCGCTCCTCCACCAAGCCCTGCGCGGCGGCATACCGGGGCTCTACGAATTCTGCCTGGAGCACGCGGGGCTCACTTTGGCCGAGATCCGGCGGCTGCACCTGGCGCGCTTCGACATCCTCAACCCGCTCTCGGACCGCATCGACAAAATGGCCGGCAGGCAGTGGTACCAGACCGAGCATTTCTGGGACGGCGGCGTCAGCGAGCCGTGGACGATCCAAACGGAGGCCGACCGCGCCACGTTCCAGATCGTGATCTACGGCGAGCTGTTCGGACCCGATATGGATGCGTTTCTGGCCGCCGGTAGACGCACCCCGGACAAGCCGGTGCACTCGATCGAGACGCGGCTCGAGTTCATCAAGTACTGTGTGCCGGATGCCATGTGTTTGAAGGGGTATCGGGGCTTTGCACAGCCGGAAAATTCGGGCCCGTATGCTAACCTGGAGGACCCCTGGGCCTTGCCGGGTGACCAGGTCGCGTTGCAGCATATCCTCTCGTGTCGCCGGTGGCGACGCATGTGGGCGGACGCCATGCGCATGATTTCTCGGGATGAGGCCGACGGCAAGATCGAGGATAATGTGAATGAGGAGTCGTGGCGCACGAAGCTGTGGCGCGATGCCTTGCTCGTGCAGGGCCTGTGGGGAATGCAGCTTGTCACCTTGCCCGAGGCGAGGGTGGCCAAGGAATGGCTCGACAAGGGCCGGTGGCTGCGCGAGCAGATCTGGAAGCTGGACGGTCCGCTGGAGACGCGCGCCATCGGCGAGCCGTGGGAAGATCCGGTGTCGCTGGCGCCGGATCCCAGCCAGGATGTTTTTGTTTGTATGGCGGCGCTTTGGCGGATGTAGTTTAGTTTACATGTACAATAAAGCTACTAATTCTACGCGGGTTTGCCGGGGGTTCTCTAAGTCCTTTTCTTTCATCTTTATCTTTCTATCATATCTACCTCTCCGAAAACAGAAGTATAACATTCCGGGGGAGAACCTCCGGACCCCCCTTTCTTTCAGCCTCCCAGCGACCTCAATCGAGACCAGAAATATACACTCACCCTAACGCAGAGAATATTAAATCGAGATTACCAGGAAGCTGATAGAAAGGGGGGTCCGGGGGTTCCCCCCCGGAAACGTCCACTTCCTTCAGTCATCGAAAGTGGGTTGCAAGGACAGGAGGGACCCTCCGCATCTACGATCACTAATCAATACGAGCACTATGAATGGGGTAGTTATGGCAGTGTCAGCAGGATTAGCAATCCCCCCACCAAAGCTCCGCGCGATTAGCACCCAGTCGACGAGCGAGCATTGCACCTCCGACCGTGTCATCTACGGAAGCTCTATGGCCCGACAGGATAGTCCGATAGGCTGGATGCGCTAGTCCGCCGTGTGGGGGCGGGATCTCCCAACAAAACAACCTTATTTATCTGCAGCCCCTGCCCTTCTTTTCTTCTTTGTATATCGTTCATCCTCTATGACTCGCAGAATTATGGGGCTGTCATCGCGTCTAGCAGCAGTACGCCTCCTCCCTTGGTCATAAACATCACACACTAACGCCAAATCTAGACCGCGCTCGGCCTAGCCATAGTGCTAGGCTGGCTAACCGACCGCCACAGACTGATCTGGCTGACGGTGCAGAACCACCCCAGCCGACTGCCGCAGCTCTCAGCTTTCGCCGACCACCAGGTCATCCTGGCAGACCAGCTCCGCAACTGCGAGGACGTGCACCTGGACGAGCAGCGCGGGTTCGCCCTCCTAAGCTGCGACCCGGGCCGCGACACGTGGAACACCGTGATGGTGCGTCCGTCATCCTAGCACTCTCAACCCTACACATAATTAAGCGTTCCGGGGGAGAACCCCCGGACCCCCCTTTTCTTTCAGCTCCCTGGCCACCTCAATCCCATCCCAGAATAAGAGCTACAAACTAAGAAGAAAAACAGGGAACCTTCATAAACGCGAGCAACCCAGGCACACTGTACTTATACGACTACGCCTCAGCACAGAACAACCCCACAGCACCACACAAGCACCTCCACGCACTAACCCTCACCAACTTCCCAACCACAAAACGCAAAACTTTCCACCCACTCGGCCTAGCCTACAACAAGGAAACCAGCACCCTCTTCGTAGCAAACCACGCGCCCCCGGGCCCAAGCATCGAGCTCTTCACCCTAAACCCCACACAACACACCCTAACCCACAAACAAAGCATAACGCACCCGCTCCTCCACGGCCCGAACGCCCTCCTTGCCCTCTCCCCGCAGGAGCTGTACATAACAAACGACCACCGCTGGCCCAGTGCCAAATACCCCGTGCTTAACGCCCTGGAAACCTACACCGCGTACGCAGGCGGCACAGTGGTCCACGCCAACCTCGCGACAGGGGAATATAAAGTCGTGGCGCGCCTGCCGTTCGCGAACGGCATCGCCGCGCTCAATGCCTCGCATCTCGCTGTTGCGTCTACTACCTCTCCCTCTGTCACTATCTACCTAGTTACCGAGGGGCGAGGGCTGGAGAGGAGGCTGAGTATTCGGACGCGCTTCCTGGTGGATAATCTCAGTGTTGATGCGAAGGGGAGGCTGGTTATGGCTGGGCATCCTTTTTTTCCGGCTTTGGGTGAGCTGGCGAGGAGGAATTATAGGTTTGAGGGCCTGGGCGATGGGGAAGGGGGGAGGCCGCGGGCGCCGAGCTGGGTGGCGGAGTGGGATGGGAATGTGGATGGGGTGGTACGGGATTTGTTTGTGGATCGGGGGGGCGTGTATGGGTGTAGTTCTGGTGCTGTGCGGGATGTGAGTAGGGGGGTTGGGCTTGTGGTTGGGTTGTATGAGCGGGGGATTTTGGTATGGAGAGAGTGAGGATCAGGGTACCAGGAAGCTGAAATGAAGGGGGGTCCGGGGGTTCTCCCCCGGGACGGTATGTCTCTGTTTGATCAAGGATAGGTGGGCCAGGAAGCTGAAGGAAAGGGGGGGTTTG